TTTTTTTTTTTTTTTTGAGACGGAGTTTCACTCTTGTTACCCAGGCTAGAGTGCAATGGCGCGATCTCGGCTCACCGCAACCTCCGCCTCCTGGTTTCAGGCAATTCTCCTGCCTCAACCTCCTCAGTAGCTGGGATTACAGGCATGCGCCACCATGCCCAGCTAATGTTTTTGTATTTTTAGTAGAGACGGGGTTTCACCGTGTTGACCAGGATGGTCTCGATCTCTTGACCTCGTGATCCACCCACCTCGGCCTCCCAAAGTGCTGGGATTTTTTTTTTTTAAGTAGTTTTTGCCTAGCTAGTTTTCCTACACTTGATCTTAGCCAAAAGGCCGAGAAGCTATACGAGCTAGTGTTTTCTAACAGAACCGTTAGAAAAGCACGAGGTTTGGAATTAGGACATAATAACCAAGTCCTAGTGACATGAGTGCAGTAAGGAGACCACTTTAAAAAATTCCTGTGCTGAAGCCAGATGAGGTGTTACTTTAAAGTTAAAATTTTAGGAGGCTATATAGTTTTTCCACTGATATGTCCTACTATTCAACATATCTTTTGAAACTCCTTTTAAAAGTTCTTTGGAAACAAATTTTTAAATCAGTCTTCATATTGCACTTAACAACAAAAAGATAGCATTAATTTTAAATACCTTTTACCTTATGACCAAGATGGTACCAGGTGGCTCATCTCCCACTTTAAAGTCAAGTTCATCTTCAGAGTTTAAAAGATTTGCCACCATTAGGAATATTCCAAATGGCGTACCTCAGATTCTGAAAGCAATTATGAAAGAAGAGTACCCAACTATTTTGAAAAAATGGTAACATAGTAGGAATAAGTATTTAACCTCCTTAACCTTGTAAGAAACTAAGAGAGTACTGTTTTTTACTGTGTGGCCTCTGTGTCCATTATATATACATATACACATTTTTTAGTCATTCTTTATTGTTAGGTATCATAGATTCTTGCCTATATTTTTGTTTAGTTTTGGACTTTTCCTGTTAATTTTGTACTATTTTTAGGGTACCATTTCTTTCATTGGTCAGAGTAATTGTATTTTCTTCCCAAGTATTGACAAGTCTGTCTAAATTCTGTCCTGTAGCTAATACATTGGAGGAATGGGATTGGGGGAGGGGATGTAGTCCTAGAACTTAAAAATAAGCTGACATTTTGGGAATGCTATAATTAAAAATCAGCATTCACCTGGGAAGCTAAAAACGTTTGTCCAAGTCAGAGATCAGAGTATAGCTTGATAATGAATTCTAGCTATAGCAAAATGTTTATGGATGCTTGTGTTAATAAAACCGAAGAAGAGTTGTGTCATCAAAAAGGGAATGCTTAATTTGGGGACATAGAAAAATGAAGTTAGAAAGGAAGAATTGCCATGCTATTTAAAAACTTTCCAGATACAAAGATACCTTGTCCCAAGGACTCGATTACCTGGCCCTGATGCAGGCATGGCCTTGCTCTAAAGATGAATTCAGACCGGGTACAGTGGCTCACACCTGTAATCCTAGCACTTGTTGAGGCTGAGGTGGGAGGATCATTTGAGCTCAGGAGTTTGAGACCAGCCTGGGCAACACAGGGACACCCCATCTCTACAAAAGAAAAAAAAAATATCCAGGTGTGGTGTTGCACACCTGTGGTCCCAGCTATTCGGGAGGCTGAGGTAGGTGGATGGCTTGAGCCCAGGAGGTTGAGGCTTCGGTGAGTCATGATTGTGACACTGAAGTCCAGCCTGGGCAACAAGAGTGAGAGCAAGGATTCACATCAGTCATTGCAGCCTGTAACACTTTTTGGGTTGGGATTCCATGCTCCCCAAGTAATCATCTGATTTTAATTCAGCTACCATGTACGCATTTCAACAGGGATAGACTGTACTTGTCACTCATTTTTAAACATTTGGTCTTATGTATGTTACTCATTTGCTGTTCTTATTTATGTCCTAGTCATTTCCATGAATTGCCCTCTCTTGAGTCCTGTCTATTCTGGGATAGCAGCAGAATTGTTTGTAGACCTGGGAGACTAAGGGCCACAGATGGAGCTTTGCTCTTGTTGCCCAGGCTGGAGTGCAATGGCGTGACCTTGGCTCACTGCAACCTCCGCCTCCTGGGTTCAAACGATTCTCCTCCCTCACCCTCCCAAGTACCTGGGATTATAAGTATGAGCCCCATGCCCAGCTAATTTTGTATTTTTAGTAGAGACAGGGTTTCACCACGTTGGTCATGTTGGTCGTGAACTCCTGACATCAGGTAATCCACCTGCCTAAGCCTCCCAAAGTGCTGGGATTACGAACATGAGCTACCACACCCGGCCTAGGCCGTAGGTTTTTAAAGTAATTCTTAACCCATAAAAGGGGCAGGTGATCATGTCACTTAAGGACCCTAGTGGTTCTAAGCCACCTGCTCTTTCTTACCCATAGATGACTGGATAAAATGGATTGTACTAAAATGTTTTATTTACTCAATCTTCCTATTTTTGTATAATAGGAGGTTCCTGTAGATCATTAGGAATTTCCTTTGGTAAGTGGCATCTATTTGGAAAACATCTACCATTTGAATTATAAAGATCTTGCTCTGAGGTGTTATAATCCTCAACATTCGTTACTTATAGAATGCATATTCATTCAATATTTATTGAGTACCTACTTTATGCCAGGAAGAGTTGTGGTCACTAGAAGTGTAAAAATGATTAATATGTATTTTATATAGTTGAAGACACCTCGTTAAACTGAGATTAGTGTACATGTAAATAATTAGGATAAGTGCAAGATTAGAGGTAGTATGGGAAAGCAAGAGAAAGTGATTCTACATGGAAAGCTAGACTTTAAAGGATTAGTCTGATTCCCTAAATGGAGAATTAGGATAATTCCAGCATTTGGTGATACCACAAGTAGCTGTAGAGAAATGTTTGCTGTAAACATATGTGCAGCTTATGTAGTGAGAGTGACTTAAACTTCAGTTTATAGATGCCCTTCAACTTATGATGTAGTTATGTGCCAATAAACTTGTCGTTAAGTTGAAAGTAACTTAAGTCAAAACATTTATTACACCTAACCTACTAAACTTCATAGCTTAGCCTAGCCTACCTTAAATGTGCTCAGCACACTGACATCCTCCAGTTGGGCAAAACCATCTGATAGCACAATATACTCTTAGGCAGTATTGGTTGTTTACCCTTGTTATTGCATGGCTTACTGGGAGCTGCAGCTCACTGTAACTGCCCAGCATCTTGAGAGCATCATACTGCATATCACTAGCCCAGGAAAAGATCAAAATTCAAAATTTGAAGTACAGTTCTACTAAATTTTTATCTTTTCCTGGGCTAGCAAAACAGGTTAAGAACTCTCTCCTCTTCAGTGCTGGGTACTGCTGTGTGCCATTTTAATTGTTACACAACCCTGAGTGATAGGTAGTTATTTCTGACCTTAAGTTTCTTCATTGTAAGATAGGGGAATAATTTAGTAAAACTGTAGTGCTGTGGCTTCCTAGAGAGGAGGTTGGAAAGATGAGAGTTGTCTCTAGAATAATGGCGATGGGGAAGGTGAGTATAATGGCGCACTTCTGCTGGTCTTGCTAGGATGTTCTTTTGACTTCCAAGAAAGTATAAAGTGCCATGAACTGAATTATACCATAGATAGAAGGGTGAAATAAGGAACCTTTTTTTTTTTCCTATAATCTAATTTTTTTTCTTTTTTGAAAAAAATCACCGATATTTTCTCTGTTTCAGAGCACAAAGTTATCATTGTTGGGCTGGATAATGCAGGAAAAACTACCATCCTTTACCAATTGTAAGTATTAACTGTCTTAAAAAAATTTTATTTCTAGTTACTTTTTTTGCCTGAGTAATATTTAATGAATGAATGCAGTAAGACATTACATGAAACCTAAGTTACCCTGTAAGAAAGCAGGTTGACAGTAAACCAGGAGCCAAATCTCAGCAACAGTTTGTAGAAAGTGAGAAATCTATATGATATTGAACATATAGTTGGCATTGAGTTGCTCAGTTGTTTTGTGCTAAAGCTCTTTTGTTTGTAGAAAGTAGAAAAATATGACCCGGTGTGGTTGCTCACACCCTTATCCCAACACTTTGGGTGGCAGAGGTGGGAGGATTGCTTAAAGCCAGGAGTTTGAGAAACCTCTTGGGCAAGACAGTGAGACTCCTATGTCTTTATAAGCTATATATTAATATATATATGTATACTTTATAAAATTAGCTGGACATAGTGGTGCACACCTGTAGTTTTAGCTACTTGGGAGACCGAGGTGAGAAGATTGCTTGAGCCTACTCAGAAGGTCAAGGCTGCAGTGAATCTCATGCCATTGATATGTATGATCACGCCACTACACTCTGGCCTGGGTACCAGTTAAAAAAAGAAAGAAAAAATATTTGTTTTTATAGTTTCCTAGAATGATCTAGTATGTGCCAGATAGCCTATGACCTAGCTCCAGCTCTGTTTAAACCCTTAGCTCATTCATGTTATAAACTAGTGGGAAAAGGATATTTAGTTATAACTTATGAAAGGAGGTCATACTGGTTTGTCCTTGATTAAAAAATTGTTCAGGCAAGTTAGTTTCCTTCTAATAGTAATGTATGTAAACTTTTCCTGCAGTTCTATGAATGAAGTTGTACACACATCTCCTACAATAGGAAGTAACGTAGAAGAGATAGTGATTAATAATACACGTTTCCTAATGTGGGATATTGGTGGCCAAGAATCTCTTCGTTCTTCCTGGAACACTTATTATACTAACACAGAGGTAATGTTTCTTACCATACTAAAAATTATATGAACAGAATGCTTGGAAAACATCTAGATTTGAGCCCTTATCGTTAATCTATTTGAAATATCACAGTATGTTAATAAATAAATAGTTTAAGCGTAGTGAAATCTTTGATTTCCTGTTCAGGGCCATCGTTAATGTGTCTACTATCATTGAACCTCTATAGGGAGGATTGGTTAATTATGTTCTGATTGTGTATTGATCTCAGAACTTGTCTGAAGTAGTTGTTTTTGTAATGACTTCCATCTCATAGTTTGTTATTTCATTTCTCTCTATTTATGTTTGGCTGAGTTTAGCTCACTAAATGGGAGAGCTTTGGTGGTTTGAATCCTAGCCAGTTTTACTATTTTCTTTTACAAAACACGGTTGCACATTAAATAATTTTTCTTTTGATTATAAGGCATTTTAGATTGATCATATCTTTTTATTTACACATTATTTTCCAAAGGAAAATTTTGGACCTATGACATTTGAGTGCTTCATTGCATAGGCCTGTGAATTAAAAGACTGACAATTGTTTTTGTAGTGTTCATTGTAAGTTAATAAAACATGGTTTATATTTGTATAAAGCTGACTTTTAAGTTATTAAGAAACCTTGAAGTGTATCTGACAACCTGATTTCCCAACACTGCATTAGGCATTTAATCATTGTTTAGAAGGAAAGTTGTGTATAATTAGAAAGGTGTATATGCTACTCTGTACATAATGCCATAGGTTTCATATTCATGCCAACGATCTGAAAATTAACAGCTTTATTAAAATACCTTGGAATAAAATTGGCCTTACAGTGATAAAGCCACCTATCAGTAAGCTGTCAAGTGAGAGGAGAATTAAAGTAACAGTTCTCTCATACATCTCTCTTTTGGTTGATGAAGTCTGAAGAATAGAAAAGATTCAGAAAATCGTAATAGTTTCTTTAAAAATTAAGATCTAGGTCTAAAAAGTAAATAGTGCATATTACTAATAGGCAGTCAGAACCAACTTGGGCATCATAAATGCTAACATAAAGTGAGTACGTTAAGTCTCCATCTGTTCCTGCTAACCTTGCTTTTGGGTGCTCACCGAGCCGAGGAAGAGGTGCAGAGGAGCTCAGTCCCACAGTCATCGCAAGTTTTTCACTGCACCTTCTCATGCCAGTTTCATCATCAGTTCATGAAAGGGTTGTGCTTGCAGGTAACAGGTGATACTTATGTAAGGAAGAGAGCTTGTTTTAGATAGAGATTTATTCTTTCAATTGGTTGATTTTTTTAAAAAAAGTCACATTATTTTACTCCCATACTCATGCCCTTCAGGATTTCAGGTCGATATTAATAAATAACATCTGCCTGGAAGTAATATATTCAAGATCATATTGTATGTTTTTCTTATTGATTCGTAGTACAAAGAGATGGATATAGGCCTGTTAGCATTTGACATACTAATTTAGAAAACAGACATGTGTTGTGTATTAGTTAGAATGTTAGTATCATATTCTCTTCCCTCTTAAAAATTAGTAAATATATTTGGATTAAAATCAATCAGATCTTTTGGTTTCACAATGTATAGTAGGTAGCTCTGATTTTCCAACAACACCATGAGATTCCAATTTCTTGATATTAATACCCCGTATATCAAATAAACACATGTTAAGTTTTACAAATACCAAGTTATGTAATCACTAATGATTTTTTTCATAATTATTTTAGTTTGTAATAGTTGTTGTGGACAGTACAGACAGAGAGAGGATTTCTGTAACTAGAGAAGAACTCTATAAAATGTTAGCGCATGAGGTAAGTAAGTAGTCTTTTTACATTAGATATGGGGGAAGAGTATGTGAATCATATTTTGTTTTCTAGTTTCTCATGAGGGTCCTATCAATTTCAAATTTTTAAAAATAAGTTACTTACTGGCCATGCCTGCTCTATTATTTTGACATCTCCCAGTTTGGAAGTGTATCTGGAAGCAGCAGAAAGATTATGGATTGAGTTGCAGAACTTTATTTCACTTATCCTAGATAAATTTCGTTTTGTAATTTTCCTGGGCAAAAGTAATTTCTATAAGTGGCTTTCATTTTGCATTTTGAATAGATTAATTATACAGAGAATTGTCATTGGAAATGATATTTTAAATTACCTGGGTGCTTAGCAATTCTTGATTGTTACTCAGCCGACTAATATTTAAATGTAATTGCTGTTAGGTTTCTCTAATATTGTCCCTTTGACTAAAAAAATTAGATGACCAGCTACATTTTCATAGTCCTTGAAAAACACCGGCTGGGCATAGTGGCTCACTCCTATAATCACAGCACTTTAGGAGACTGAGGCGGGAGGATCACTTGAACCCAGGGATTCAAGACCAGCAGAGCAACATGGCAAGACCCTATCTCTATGAAAAATAAACAAAATTAGCCAGGTGTGGTGGCATGCACCTGTAGTCCAGCTATTCATGAGGCTGAGGCAAGGGGATCAATTAAGCCCAGGAGGTCAAGGCTACAGTGAGCTGTTCTTGCCACTGTACTCCAGCCAGAGTGAGACCCTGTCTCAAAAAATTAAATTAAATTAAAAATAAATAAGTAGAAATAAAAATAAATTTTAAAATTAAATTTTTTTAAAGTAGAAAAATATTACTGGTAACAAATTTAAATAATAAACTGAATAATATAGTCAACTTGATAATAACCGTAATATTATATAGTATTTATATAATATTTACTAAAATTGATTATTTTTAGATATCTTTTATTACAGATGCTACTTTCTCAACTCATAGACAGGAATAGAAAAATTAATATTTAGATATCTAGAGTATTTTTTATTTCAGTGAATTTTTGCAAAGCTTAGGAAAACCAGGATATCTTTGTAGTGAAGTTTTATATTAATTTTGTTATTGATTTGATTTGTTTCTGAGATTTCCTTTAAGAATTTTAGTGTATTTCAGGCAAACTTTCAGGGCTTTAGGGAACCTAACCTAGTAAAATAGTTCTGTAAATTGAGGTTCCTCATTTCCTTCTGACCAGCAAGATGCACCCTTCCATATTTTGGACTTTTAATTCCAGTAGCTGTATTTAAACCTCTTGGAGATTTACAAAAATACATCTTGCCATTCTTTGTTCATTTGACAAATTCCATTTCTAGTTGGGATACAAGCAGTAAGCCAAAAAAGAGGCAGAAGACAAAGATTTGGTTTTTTTTTCTTTTCAAGTTCATATTTTGCAATAATGCAGTGTTTTTCAGTTTATTCCAAAGGGTGGTTTTATGAAGACTTTGGAAAAAGAAAAATTGATACAAATGTTATTTGTCTCTGGCCTATATCTTTTGTTCTGTTAACACGTAGTCTCCCTATCTGATTTTTACTCTAATCGGCCCATATGCAGCAGGATTAGTATATGAAGAGCCCAGTAGTGGGGTTCAAAGTCTTTGAATTTTACTAGCTGGGGGCATTAACTTGCACAGATCACTTAACCTTATCTGTTATGGGTGAGTACACTGAGGCCCAGAAAGGTTATGTGACTTGATTAGCTTTTTAAGAGCCAGGTTTTGAATTTAGATGTTCCAACTCAGACTCTATTAGTGGAAGAAAAAAGAAAAAGACATAAGTAGGGCCTAGTTGGAAAGGGAAAGGAGACTGAATGGGGAGATGACCAGAGAAGAAAGGAATTATAAATGAAGTGGGAGTTTGAGCAGGCCACTCAGTAGGGTCAAGAAGAGCCAAACAGGCAGAGTTCTGGAGAGAGACAAACGGATCAAAAAGTGACAATGTGTGAGTGAAGAGTAAATGTAGACACGATGTTAGTTGGATGTTTCATATGTACTTCATAACCAACAAAATCTTATTGTCATCACCGATAACCATTCTTTACATCATTAAGAAATACAAAACTATAAAAAATTTTAAAATAACTTTCAAAGCTTTATCATAAGTGAAATGTAAAACTTTAGAACTCATTAAATTTAAAATGGCTTCAAACACCAGAGTCTAAAATTTTATTCAGAATGACTCAGCTTCTAGGAGTTACCTTCACAAATGAAGTTTTAAGAAACAAATTGACAACTATATATGCTATATAGAAGATTCTAATTAAATGTGACTTGCAATTGCTGTTACTCATCTCCTTGATCAAACTTAAATATATCTTAAACTAGAAATCTGTAGCAGAAATGGTTTTAAAGTGTTTCAAATGGCTTATGTACAAAAGATCACCATTGTTCACCTTATACTTTGACCTTTTGTTAAGTCAAGTTGATGAACAGCCTTAATTCAATATATCTATTTTCTATTATTCTTTTGTATACATACTTGGTTTTGAGGTTATATAATAAAAAGCAAATGAAGATTTTCTTCTCTTTCTAAATATTTAAAAATTGGCAAAATAACTTTTTCTTAAAAATCAATAACTGAAAAATTTGAACCTTTGAGATCTAGAAAAATTGATTCAAGGTATTTGGAGACCTTTTATTAATGGCTTTGTTTTTTGTGTTTTTTAATTTTCAACTTACGGGCTTCCAAAAATAATTTTATCATTAAGAGTGATGAATACAAATTACTTACACTAATACAAACCATGTGTCCTAAGTTGTGCCAAGTATTTGTCAGAAGTTTGTTCTTTCAGCATGTCAACATTAGCAAACTTGACCTATATAAGACTTCAGTACACACTAGCAAGAGATACTGAAACCTAGAAGATAGGAAGATAGGAATTAAATCTCATGGAAAGTCTATCTACTTATTGACTCAGCCACATATTAACTATTGATAATGATTTCTTTTATTTTTGTTTTTTTGAGACAAGAGTCTCACTCTGTCACCCAGGCTGGAGTGTAGTAGCACCCTTTTGGCTCACTGCAACTTCCACCTCCCGGGTTCAAGCACTTCTCATCCCTCAGCCTCCTGAATTAGCTGGGAGTACAGGTGCGCACCACTGCACCATGCTGGTTTTTATATTTTCAGTAGAAACAGTGTTTTGCCACGTTGGCCAGGCCGGTTTCAAACTCCTGGCTTCAAGAGATTCACCCGCCTTGGCCTTCCAAAGTGCAGGTATAACAGGTGTGAGCCACCATGCCTGGCTGATTAATGGTTGCATTTTCTATTTTGGAGGAAAGAAAAATATTTACTGTATATCCTTGATAATGAGTATATGTATACAAGTTATAGTCTATCTCTTCAAATTTTTTGTCTTTTATATAGGCAGGTGAACTGAAATATAGGTGAAACTAGTTGAACATGAAATCTTAAAATTGCAAACATTGTAGCAGTATTCCTTTCTGACCATACTTATTCAGATAACTATCAACTGTGGTAGCATTAATAGCTGCCATCCTGCAGAGGGCACTGTAATTAAAATCAGTCTTGATTTTTTTTTTTTTTTTTTTTTTTTTTTTTGTGAGACGGAGTTTCACTCATGTTACCCAGGCTGGAGTGCAATGGCGCGATCTCGGCTCACTGCAACCTCCGCCTCCTGGGTTCAGGCAATTCTCCTGCCTCAGCCTCCTGAGTAGCTGGGATTATAGGCACACACCACCATGCCCAGCTAATGTTTAGTATTTTTAGTAGAGACGGGGTTTCACCATGTTGACCAGGATGGTCTCGATCTCTTGACCTCGTGATCCACCCGCCTCGGCCTCCCAAAGTGCTGGGATTACAGGCTTGAGCCACCGTGCGCGGCCTTGATTGTTACATAAAATATTTTACATAACTCCTGTGACCAAGTAAGAAATACAAGTATACTACTTATATTTTTATTTGCATCAGAAAGAATCATCAAAACTATATTCTAACAAGAGTCATTTTGTATCTACTGAAGATTTTATTGATTCAACCACATACACACATTATTAAAACCAAAATATCTCACCAAAATCCCTAAGAAGACAGATGCCATTCAGCAGTTGTGAAAACTTGCAAGTATGGCACCAAAACCTTAATTTTATATCTCCTAATATAAGCAGAATTTTATGGAGTTTAATTTAGTTATTGAGTATGTCCTTCATGGATTCTTGACCCAGTATCCATGTAAGGAATTTAGGGTATTAACACCCTAAAATTATATATAAACTTAAAAAAATTTTGTATGGATGCATATGTGCATTTTGTGGAGAAAGGTCCATGATTTTGAACAGATTATCAAGGAAGTCCCTGGCTTTAAAAAGATTGGCAGGTAAAGAGGAGTGGAGCAGAAGGAGACTAAGAACTTTTGCCTGTTTTGTGAGTAAAACATTATACCCATGATTTGGAGTATGCACAATTATATTTGGAAAAGGATTAGTGTAGTGGGTGTCTTGCTCAGATTGGATACTCAATCAAAGATATGAGGAACAAATTCAGAAAGTTTAAAGAACTTACCTCTGAGTCATAGCATTGAAGTGACAGAATTTCTAATTGGGGAAACTTGGTAAGTTTAATGCCATTCCAAGATGGCCGTATTGTATATTCAAATCTAAGAAGTCTTCATACACAGTGAGAGAAATTAGGGTGAATAGGATTGGTTTAGGATAGAACTTAAACTGAGAATTAAGCCCTAAGCTTTAAGGCATACATCGTAATGAATTCATTTATTTCCTATGCACCTAGAAGGTACTAGCTATGTACATAATTGGGAGATTTGTAATGTAGTAAACTCAAATCATTTTCTGTGGAGCTTAATTCTCTTGTGGAATCCTGATTGGGAAAGTCTGGCTTAGGAGGTTGGAGGGGAGGAAATATACGCAAAAGAAATGATTTGAACAACATAGAGATGGCAGTGCCTAAAACTGTTTAGAGGGCAGTGGATCGATTGCTAATTACAGCAGAGTACTTATATAGGAGTGATGTAAGGTAAAGCAGAAAAGTATAGGCAAGGTAGAATTTTGGAGAGCTCTCAAGTATTAGGCTAAAAGGTAGTTCTTAGCCATTTGAGCCCAGTTTTGAATTTAGGGGGTGGATAGTAAATATACTGGAAAACATGACTGTTAAATATAGCACTTAGGACCATAAAAAACTATAGTCTAAGACTAAAGACATATGTAAACATATACAAGTGTATAAAAATGTGTTATCAGCCTGTGCTGTGAGATGCTTTTATGTCAGTAGTTGAGAAATTCTAGGTTACTAAGATTGTGAAAAAGATTCTGTTAATTAAGTTGAAAAATATGTGGAAAAATGTACTGGCCTTTACAGTTGTATTTGCTTTAATAGGACCTAAGAAAAGCTGGATTGCTGATTTTTGCTAATAAACAAGATGTTAAAGAATGCATGACTGTAGCAGAAATCTCCCAGTTTTTGAAGCTAACTTCTATTAAAGATCACCAGTGGCATATCCAGGCATGCTGTGCTCTAACTGGCGAGGGGTAAGAAGTCTTCCTCTTAGATGTTATCAAACATGTATTTTGCTTAGAAACACGTATATTATCTTAAAACTCATAAATATTTAAGGCTATTGTATACAAAACATCATAAGGGACAGACATAAGCTATAGTTCATGTGTATATTCAGGGACTTTTTAGGGTGGTTCTGTAAATAGTAAAACAATGTAAACATAATAGATATAAACCTACTGAACATGTAAGCATATAGCTGTTATAATTGCTATAGGAGCTCAGAGAAATGGGAGTATCAATGTGAGCTGGAGAAGTTAGGAAATATGTCTTAAGGTGGTAGTGGAACTGAAGACCTGACACTTGCTGAGCATGTCCTGTGTCTGGAGAGCTTTCCATATAGTGCTTCATTTAATCCTCATAACAGTTCTACAGAGAAATTATTTTTAAGTGATATTTTATGCATAAAAAAGCTCCAATCAAAGAGGATTCATGTCTGAGACTAGTTTGGGGTTATTTACTGTTGCCACAAATGTGGTCAAAAGAAGGATTAGGGGAGTTGGAGAGGATGTGGCAATGATGTTCCTTGGTTCTGGAATGATAAGTGATGGAAGAGAAGTGTGTGCCTATAGTGGAAGTTTGCCCTGTGTTGTGCCCAGAGATGAAAGTATTTCAAAAAGGAGGTGGTGTCATTGGCATTGTCAAACCTAAGGTCAAGGACCAAGAAGATGGAGAGAATGCCATTGAATTAACAACAAATGAGTACATTGAACCAGTTTGTCAGAACAAATTCTGTGCATTGGGAAAGTGGGCATGAGATTAGTGTAGTTTAAAGAGGAGTTAGATTTTAGGAAACAAAAATAGCTTTGTAAACGGTAGAGTGTGGCAGGAAGAGGAAGGAGAGATGAAATAAATAGAGGAGGTTGGAAGTAGGATAAAAAGCTAAAAGGAAGACCAAACTGTAGTACAGTTTTTGTTGTTGCTTTTCCAAAATATGGTGGATCTGTATATATAGTCATGTACCCTGGAATAGTGTTTTGGTCAGTGGTAGACCACATATGTGACAGTGGTCCATAAAATTAAAATACTGTATGATTACAGTAACCTGTTCTATTTTTAGGTATGTTTCAAAACAGAAGTTCTTACTATTGGGTTATGGTTACCTACAGAATTTAGTACGGTAACATGCTGTACAGGTGTGTAGCCTGGGAGCAGCAGGCTTTATAGCATAGAGCCTAGGTGCAGACTAGGCTATACCATCTAGGTTCGTGTAAGTACACTTTATGCTCTTCACACAGTGATGAAATCACCTGACATATTTCTCAGAATGCATCCCTGTCATTAAATGATGCATGATTGCATTTCAAAGCCAAGGAAAAAAGAAAGAAATTAGCAATGAAGGATTCTAAATAGAGGTCTTAAGTTGGGGTCGAGGTTCTTGAGGTGTTAGGAAAGGGCAGAAGCATGGGGTATGGATGAATTAGCTCAAGTGGGAGAAATGGTTTTCCTTTCAGGACCATGACGAAGAATTAACCAATACAATAAGTTATTGAAGTTAAATCTTAATAGAAGGCACTATTACCAACATTTGGAAGAGCATAATTAGAACCTTAAAAAAGATTTTTTAATGAAAAAAAAAAAAAAACATTCATTAAAAAATCACAGATAATACCAGTTATCCATGTATTCATTTAAGTAAAAATATGTTCTCTGTCAAATATATCTTAAGCAAAAGCACTGATTTATAATATTTGGCAATAAAGACAAGTGATCTAGGATTGACATAGGATTTAATTTATATACTTTGATAATTAATTGTATGGAAAATGTATCATTAGTATAGATATTAATTCAATTTCATTTTAAAAAGGAAAAGCAATTTTGTTTTAAAAATGGGAAAGTAATGGATGAGTTTGGTTTTGAGAGCAATGTTCTGTTTTTCTTTTATAGTTCAGCTACCTTGGTCTAAATTACTGGTTTTAGTATTGATTACTGTTTTGATTCAGTGGACTGGAAGTCACAAACTTTGGAGAGTGGCTTCATTTGACTTCTACTTTTCCCATTTGCTAACATTGCCAAGCCTGGGTTTCCTTTGTAACATTGGAAAGATTCTGATCTCAGTGTTATAAAGATCCAATTAAGAGAATGGATGTTAAGTCAGTTTCTAGTTTGCTGTTAGGTAACTACTGTTCATTTATTCGTTTGGAGTTAAATAATCTCTTCATCTATCATTTCGTGTACTGTTTCCTATCAGTAGTTTAAAAGTAACGAATCTAGTCACAGAAGAAAAGTATGGGACAACCGCCCCAAAACAACCATTTGTTTACCTCATTACCATCTTTTTTCTATTTATGTCTTCTTTTACATTATTAGAAATACTTAACAAAAATCTGAATTAAACAGAAATTTAATATTTTTATTTCTACAAAAGCTTGTCATAGATAATAGTTAATACTTGTAACAGTTCTTTATTTTGTTGTAACTTAATGTGTACAATCATTTCGCTCTTGCTAAACTTTTAGTTTCTTTGACCACAATTACATCCTTTTTTGTATTTTGGGTTATGCTCAATTAACAGTTGTTAGTAATAACTGATGTTACTGATAAGAAATTTTATTGCCTTCAAAAGTTTTGTATACTTACATTTTGTTTTATGTAACATACATATTGTGTGTATGCTTTGTTTTAATAACTCTACTATATATTTAGTTTAATATCCTGCCATTTTTCATTTATATCATGAGCATTTTATGTTATAAAATGGTTTTATTTCCTCCATTTTCTGGTGATGAGAATCATAAAATCATTTTTGAAAGGAAAGTTTTAAATACTTTATCATCTGAATGTCCTCTAATTTATTTTTTTTCTGTATTTCTAGACAGAAATTCTTTTCTTATTAAAAGTACTTTAAAGAGCAGTTTTGTATTTAAGTCTATGTTTATGTCTGATTATCTTTTTTAGGATACATTTCTAGAAGTAGAAAAAAGGGTGCAGAGTATTGATATTTTAAATACTTTTGATGTGTATTGCTAGATATATTTTTGACATGTTACTTTCTGTGGGCACTCTTGTATAATTATAAAGCTTTTTTAAAGTGTCAGACAGTGTTCTGGGCACTGGAGATACAACTGAACCAAAAGAGCACAGATATTAGCTGGGCGTGGTGGCACGCACCTGTAGTCCCCGCAACTAGAGAGGCTGAGGTGGGAGATGGATTGAGCACAGGAGGGCATGGCTGCCATTGATTGTGCCGTTGCATTCCAGCCTGGGTGACAGAGTGAGAGCCTAAAAAAAAAGAAAAGAAACAAAAAAGCACGGATGTATTGTATATGAAAATATGGCTTCACTGCAGCAGCCCAAGCACTGAATATTACTGATTTTTAAATCTTTGTTATTTAGCTAAATGAAAAATACTCCCTTTTAGTTTGCTGTTCATAGCTTCTTAGTTCAGAATTTAATCAAATGATTTTTGTTTTCTTTATAGATTGTGCCAAGGACTTGAATGGATGATGTCACGACTTAAGATTAGATGATTTCTACTGACCTCTTCTCATAGACTTTGTGTAAATGAAGTGCTGGACTTTACCTGGAAGCTGCAAAAATTAATGGTTTAGATATATTTATAATAAACTGATTTAAACGTTTTCTATAAGAAGAAAAATTAAGACCACTTATTTGAAAACAAAGATGAAGTCTCACCTTCCAATTTGCTTTCTCGTTAGTTTTTTCCAAAGTAAGTTTTAAAGCTGTGATTGACATTTTTCTCATAATGAATCCTCTCAGGACATTGTGTAGCCTGTGGTAAGTACAAAGGGAGAGGAAGACATTTTGAATTTTAAGAGCTTTATTATCAGTATAACCCTCCCTAGTTGAATGTTGTTTCTTCTTGTTCCATTAAGTCAAAATTACAAATCACAGATACTTAGTTTCCAATATTTTAAAATATAACGTTACTTATAAAAAGTATTTTGCTTAAGGTTGTGTGTATATTGTGTATATACCTCAAGTTCAAGTTAATGGCTTTGATTTATGTTCTAAAGAAACACAAATAACAAATATTAATAATATCCTTATAACCATAATGAGATAAATATTGACATTGGTGTTAAGTGCCATTTTATACTTTCTCCCTATGTTCACTGTATTGTACTAATCAACCTCCCAAATCAATGAGCTGCTTGTTAAAAAAAAAAGGAAAAGGAAAAAGCATGACATTGTGTATTGATTTTTTGTTGACTAAAATCACACATGTGGAAACATGTAATTCAGCAGAGTGGGATAGCTATCAGATTCTTGGCTTAGTATTACTAATGGGCAGGATTGTACCATGAGCAACTATCATATTATTCCTTTCAGTGGTTCTTATGGCATCTAAATTACTGAATAAATTATTCATTAATCAGTGAATCATAAATTACGATTAAAATGATCAAATGAATTCTCAGCATTAATTGAAAACTGTTGTGTGAAACATGTCTACCCAGGAAAGTAACACTCTATAAATACTGGTAAACAATTTAGATATATTATTTTTAAGTATTATATTGTATGTCAAGCAGTTAAAATGAATTTCAGAGTAAAAGTTAGGTGTGTTTCTGAGCAACATTGATAATGTCTTATTTTGGTACTTGAAATATAGTGTGAGATTTTTTTATTTCTAAATTTTGTTGTATCTTCTATTACATAAATGCATTGTTTGACAGTTATAAAATGCAAGTGTTTTTTGAATGATCTTAAGAATTTGACTTAAAAATTCATTGATACAATGTATTATTTGTACTATGAAGTAACTTGACCCAAAACACCCTTTATGTTAGCTTAGGGTATCTTTTTTCAGTGTCTGAAATTCAAAGGTATTCCTGTCACAACTGTAAACAAACTTGTCCTAAATGTGTTAAAACATATTCTTGGATACTCTATTTGTGTATCTTTCATGCCTTGAAAATCTGAAGGTTAATCCAAACCCACGTTTTAGCATATTTAAGAAAAAAACTACTTTTAATATCACACTTTTAAACTTTATGAAGATTTTGGTGAGGAATAATGTTATATACTTTAAGTGTTGACAAAACTTAGAAAGTTTCTTTCTATAAAATGGGGAATACTCAGTATCTAAATCCAGGTCAGGCATGGGAGATCAGTATTTAACATTGGATGTTTTGTGTTTTATATTTATAATGTTCAAAACGCAAGCATAATTTAATCTTTGTCCACCTGGTTTTACAAAAGTAAATCTTAAATTACCAAGCTTTTCTCATGTTCACATACTTTCTCAAATCTCTATAAAGAATTACTTATCTGTTAAAAATCCCCTTAACCCAAATCTGTATTGTGGTTTCACCAGATAAATATTCTGTGATGTACCCCAGAAAATCCACATCTTTTGTCCTTTTTATTTTTTAATTTGAATAATCATGTGCTTAGTCCCTTGGATTGCTGCCACATCAGTTTAACACGATATCAGCACATTCCCTTGTCATCAAGGTATTGGCTCAAATTTATTCATAATTGGCAGTTTAAATCATGCACTACCTAGTTACGGTTGGTTTAGTGTAGTGGATTATTGACATGACGTCATGAGAAGATGTGGAATTTTACGCTACATTTATAAAACTTGATTTTGTTCTCTACCCTTCAAGGTGAACATTAAAAATAAGGTGGGATCTGTGTACTCGTACATAAAACCAAAATTATAGTTGGGAAAAATAAATTTGTATATGAAAATGTCAAAATCATTTTAACAGTATTATTTTCAAACAAGATAGGCTGGTAAAAAGTCATATTGGCAATTTGTATGTAGTTTAAGTGGAATTAAGCAAAGAGAGATGCTTTTGGGTTTTTAATATGCCACTTTTGAGTGAAAACATCTTGTAGAGTCATTGTGTTTAGCTCTGAGAAGAACAAAGATGCTTCTGTACATGTGGCTGGATTTAAATATCCTGTTTTTGATACTAATTTTGAAGTCATATAACTTCTTTTGATATCTTGGCAAAAGTAACCGTATGCTATAAGGATTTGAATATGTTTAATTTTGTCATAATAGCATCTGTAAGGTATATCTTACACATTATATAAAGGGTCCTTATTTGAAATTTCCAGTTCTGTATCTTCCCAGTACATCTTGGTCCTCATAATAGGCAAAGGATACAATGTAGGCAGGTGGTTTAGGGGTGATAGTGAGGAAGTGGTTAGGGGATTTATTTTCTTATACCACATTTTGCCTTAAGAATATAAAAGTGCTTTAGCACTGCTGGCTGGCATTTTTAATATAGGTAATGAAAGTGATGTTAGAAGCATGGGATGACATAGAGGAAAGAAGAGGTTTTATTTTCTGGCCTTTAGGAAGTGCCTAGTAGATCGTTACAGTGAGAAGTGCACAGAGCTTGAGGAAAGGCATGAAGTCCCTGACATTTTTTCCATTTTGTCGCAGTATATAGTTTTGAGCTGCCTAGAAACAGGACCCTATTGTCTCCTCTTGTATAGGCACTTTACATTTCTTGCTGTCACTATAGCAACCACATACAGTACAGACAATTTCAAAACCTGTTTATATTAGCGTAAATAGAAAAACTAAACAACTATCTAGTTTTCTCTGCAGGCATTTTTGGGAATGTATGTGTAGTATGCTCTGCTTTGTATATAGGAGATAGTACTACATCATCGGTTATCTCAGAACTTCAGGGTCATCTCTTAACTGCCCAGTTGTATCTTGACGTCAATCCCTTTTTCAAGGCTGCTGGGTAGAGACAACTTTCTCCATGTAACTTTGGCCCCTCCCACTCTTCAAGTGTAATCTGGATCTTCTTGCTTTCAAGATCAGCTTCCCCATAGCTCAGGTATCCCTTGCTCTCCTGTATCTTCATTTACTATCAGTGAAGATATCTCTGTCCTGAAGGTTATTCTAAACTTTGTCTATAACCGTTGTTGCCCAAATCAGTAGTTTCTATGTAACTTCTCTAGTTCCTTGCTAACTTCTCACCACTGGCTCGAGGTAGTGATTTGGTCTTTGCTCATTAGAGAGCGTTATCAGAGAGGTGGAGTCCCTCAGAAGACCACTTTGCGGTGCATATAGCATACAGATGCCAATATTAGAATTCTTTAAATTATATTGTATTTAACATTTTCATGCTTTTTAATTTAACTTCACATGTTGGGAAGTAGATTTAGAAAGATAGGGAAATACCCAGACTCTGCCAGTTCCTTGAGCTCCTAGTTAGGCATTAACAGGATTAAGTTTTATTTGTATTGTCTTCCTATTACCAAGAATGGTTATGTTGCACAGAATACCAGTTCAGTTTGAGTTGGAAAAAGATGCCAAACCAAATTTATATGTAGCATATAACCTAAAGGCATCCTTGAAATTATTGCTCACATTCCATTTTTTCTTCATGTTTGCTTATAGAACAAAGATAAACATGAGCTGTCTAAAGGAATTATCAATCAAAAGGTTAACTGTACAAAATAAACCTGTTGAAATAAACCTGATGAATAAACCTGTTTAAAAGACATCAAAATAATTGTCATGCATTGACTATAGATGCAGATAATGTCTTTAAACGTCCACTTATACAAAAATAAAACTTCTATACCATGCTTCCTCAAAGAATGTATGATAGATTAAGACCATGATAATAAAATAAAAAGGAAAGAAAACCAGAAATTAGAATTTCAGATGCTAAAAAGTAACTTTGTAGTTAACCCCAAAGTCCTGTCAAATTGTGAAGAAATGTAACAGGATGCACTTGGATTCATTTTGCAATATTTCTTATCAATTGTCTAGCCCTTGCGTATTGTTCTAAAAACTAAGGTTAAATCTTTATGCTATTGCCTGCTAGATAGCCTGTTCTTTGATAGAAAATTCCCATAGTGTGTACTCAAGAAGTGCCTAAAAATGGATTTGTGTTTATTTTAAGCCCATCTAATAAATTATATGTATTTTCTGTGGTATTACATGTGCTTGTCTTAACTGATAACACAGCCTAGAGGGTTTCTGTCACAATTTGTACTTTATTTGAATAAAAATCTTGAAATTGAAGGTATCCATCTCACCCTCAACAAACCATAATATAAAGAAACACGAGCCACACCATTTTGTCTCTTTCCTAATAATACAAGTATGTCCTGTCCCTGGCATTAGTTAACGCAGTGACTAGAAAACTGAACCCTGCTACTGTTTTTTAAAACAGTTTTAACAGAAAATTAAACTGTATGTTTGAAATCATAAGTAAAAGTTCTTTGCTTACATAAGAGTAGCCTCTTGATTCTCATAGTTAAGTGATTAGTAGTTTTGTGTCATACCATTTAGATGTTGAGCCATTTCATTTGTGCATATGTATATGTGTATGTGTCCAAATTCCTCCTCTTTGTTTAGATTCTACTTACAAATCAAACTATTTAATAGAATCTTCATACATTTATCATATATTCTTCCAGGTTTTTTTGTTTGTTTGTTTTTGTTTTTTTTTTTTTAGCTGACTATAGAGTTTGACTGTAAATTCTGGGGCAAAGCTTGATTGTATTTTCAGTGGTGTATAGTTACATTGTTTCATATTAGAAATCATTGTGCATGGAAAGTGAAATGTGCATATGATTTTAAATTATTGTAATATGTACTGTGCCCTTCCCCTAAATATCTTACATTGATGATACACAGAATTCCTCTATTTTTGCTTGAAAATAGTCCTTTAGATTGGGGTAGCCTTTTCTTATATCCCTCTTTTGTTCCATGGTATAAGGTGATACCTGCAAAGCACTTTTAAAGATATTTTTTAGGTTAATGTTCAAGATACAGCATTGAGGAGGCAGCTATGTCTAATGAGGGCTCTCTTGGTTGCTAGAGATGAGAGAAATGTATACTAATCATTTTAATTTGTACTTAACATGCAGTTTACTAATCATATTGATTTTAAATATGACAGATTCTTCTTGTAGATATTAATCTTTAATCTTTCTTATTTATCATATTGTTCTAGAGAAGCCTAGATAAAAATGGGTTCCACCTAGTCTCTTTATAAAACACCTTCCCCACATACTCCCCATCCCTTCCAATTGAGCTCTATGCACTTTGACAAGCAAATAAGAAGACCTTAGGTTTCTTGTATTTGAATTTCCAAAACAATAAAAGGTTTTTACTCAAGATTTGCATGCAAGAGGCAGAAATTTTGTCTCATCTCTTTATCATTTTGTGAACTTGTGTTTCTCTGTATACTAGGGAAATTTTGCACAAAAGGAATTTTTGAAAAAGTGAGAAGTTTAGAGTGCTTGGGTGCATTTTATTTGCACAGTGCTGATGTGTTAGGTATCTAGGGAAATAATGCGTCAGGACCTTTTCAACAACACAGCTTCATCAATGACTGGGGGATATTTATGTTTGTGCTGAGGAAAGGGAGGGAGTGGGCAGGTTGGAGTGGGGGCGTTTCTGTGGAAAGCAGAGCAGTCAGCTGCTTTATAGATGTGGTTTTTCATTATACTTGTAACAATGTTCTTGTGTCCATAATTGACTGAAATGTCAAGTTTCAGGAATGCAGGGCATTTATCAGGTGACCAGAAGTAGAACCTTGTTGATTATGAAATGGAAGAATAATGTCGAGGTAGTTGGGGGAAAATGACAAATAAGATTTTACTGGTGAATTTCCATGTTTAATATGTATATTAATCTTTTTTTAAGTTGCATGTTAATCTGGTATAACGTATTATCTCTGCTTTATGCTTTGGGTAAAAAGGAAAGAAAAAAGACGAGTTACAATTGTTACTCTATTATGTACTATTACATATACCTTTTCTTTTAGAAAGGGTTAATTATAATTACTATTCACACCTCTGTGTTGTCAGTGTTTTTATTTTGGTTTATTCTCTAAATGTGCAGATTGGGTGTCGTAAAGGCTGGGATCCACATGGTAATTGAAAAGGTATGACAGCTGCATTGTACAAATTGCAAAAAAAGTGTCCTGATCTTCTCTAGGAAACTTTTCCAGCACTTGTTCAATTTATAGAGAGCTATCTAGCTTTTATTTCTGAATGTTAGAATTGGAAATGAGCCTGATAAATAATGATCAATTTGTATGGTTGATTTCTTTTAAAATCTGAGAAAAGTTCAGTCATTTAAAATGAATATTATTAAAGTGAACATTCATGAGCATAGTTGATAGTAAACAGAAGAAAAAAGGAAAAAATGCAGGGAGAAAGGAGTCAGCCCAGTCACATGCTGACTTGAATATTGTGTTCCTCCTCTCTGCTAGAATGTAAGCCCCAAGATGGCTATTATGTCTCTATGCTGCAGTGCCTGGTATGTAACAGGTGTTCAATTTATATGCGTTAACGGATGAATGAATGGACTACTAATGTTTTTGTTGTTTTTTTCTACCTCTTTTGTTCCCATAGGTAGGTTTTTTTGACCTATGTGATTGCAGCATATTGCCTGGTTTAATTTTTATTTAACACCTCAATTCTCATTTAATTCTACCTTACTTCAAAAGGGTTTCAAGGTGACTATATGTTTTTCTCATTCTTTTAGTAGAAATAGCACATATTTCCTTAAAAATGGCCTGAAAGCATCATGCAGTGGCAGATATTTACAAATTTTATGTATTTGAAATCTGTGGGGGTCTGCATCAGAGAATGTAACATACCAGAGTCGGTTGTCAGCATATGCAGACATTGAAATAGTAAATGATACAACATCCTTTTTGGAAAAACAACTGTTTCATCTTTTTTTTTTTTTTGAGATAGAGTATCACTCTAATCACCCTGGCTGGAGTGCAGTGGCACAATCTTGGCTCACTGCAACCTCCGCCTCCCAGATTCAAGCAATTCTCCTGCCTCAGCCTCCTGAGTAGCTGGGACTACAGCTGCACGCCGCCATTCCTGGCTAATTGGTTTTCGTATTTTAGTAGAGACGGGGTTGGCTGACACCTGTAATCCTAGTGCTTTGGGAGGCCAAGGCAGGTGGATTGCCTGAGCTCAGGGGTTTGAGATCTTATTCATCTTATATGCTTGTTCTTCCTTCATACCTGGAATATCCCCTTTTTACTAGTAAATAACTTTTGTCCCATGAAATTGATGAGATTTTCACATTAAAATAACCTCTGACAGTCCTTTTGAATGTGTTCATTATGATTAATTACCACCTTTATGGGATTCCATGAGTTGGGATGCCTAGGTGACCCATTCTCATCACTATATACTTTGAATTCTAGCAAATTATACCAAAATAGATGTTTACTTAAAAAATATTTTTGAAACAGTTCTAATATATTTAGATTTCCAAATTATATGCTATATTTCCTATATTATTACAAAGAACATTGTAATGGACATCTACTTAACTATTTTTTTCATATTTAAAATTACTTCTTTTGGTTATAATCTCAGAGGTGAAACTACTGTATTAAATGGTAGGATGAGATTTGAGAGTGCCTATTTCAAATTTTCATGAATATGTTAAACAACAAAACTTTCCAATTTAATAGAGGGATAAGCATATTATTATACTTTGCACTTATTTATTGAGACTTTTTCTTTGAAGTTTTAATTTCCTCTGAATTGTTCTTTCAGTTTATTATAATCTTGTTGTTCTTGTGAATAAATTAAATTCTCAAAATAGTAGATATAAGTACTATGTGCTAACCACTTTTGCCACTGGAGCTCCGTTTAGTGAATATATTATCTCTTGTTATATTTTTGCAAGTATGTGTGCAAAACACATCCTAGTATGCCCCTTATTTTTTTATAGTTATCTTTTTTCAGCAAATAAAGTGGTGTGTTTTTTGAGACAGAGTCTTACTCTATCACCCAGGCTGGAGTGCAGTGTTGTGATCTTGGCTCACTGCAGCCTCTGCCTCCTGGGTTCAAGTGATTCTCCTGCCTCAGCCTTCTTAGTGCATCACTATGTCTGGCTAATTTTTTTGTATTTTTGGTAGAGGTGGGGTTTTGCTATGTTGGCCAGGCTGGTCTTGAACTCCTGATCTCAAGTGATCTACTTGCCTCAGCCTCCCAAAATGCTGGGATTACAGGTGTGAGTCACTGCACCTGGCCTAAAGTGTTTGTTAATGTAAAAAATTACAGCCAGGCATGGTGACTCACACCTGTAATCCCAGCACTTTCAGAGGCTGAGGCAGGTGGATTGCTTGAGGTCACGAGTTTGAGCCCAGCCTGTCCAATATGGTGAAACCCCGTCTCTCCTAAAAGTACAAGTAATTATCTGGTTGTGGTGGGACACGCCCGTAATCCTAGTTACTCGAGAGGCTGAGGCATGAGAATCACTTGAACCTGGGAGGCAGAGGTTGCAGTGAGCCAAGATCACGCCACTGTACTCCAGCCTGGGTAACAGTGAGACTCTGTGTAAAAAAAAAAAAAAAAAAGAAAAGAAAAAAAAATAAGATATACATGACTTCTTTGAGTGAAAATCAGTAAAAAGATATAATAAGCCAAATTGTGATAATTGTCCATTGTCCCAACATTCTAAGAAAACCATTATCAACACTTTGGGACATAAAACAATGTTTCAGTTAGCAATGAATGACATACACAATGATGGTCCTGTATGATTGTAATGGAGCTTAAAAATTCCTATCACTTAGTGATGTTATAACTGTTGTAGCACAGTTCTGAAAATAAAGTATCACCTAAGTGTACGGTATGTATAAAGTCTACACTATGGTACAGTAATGTCCTAGGCCTTTACCTTCACTCATCACTGACTCACCCAGAGCAATTGCCAGTCCTGCAGCCTTCATTCACACTAGGTGCCTTATATGGGTGTACCATTTTTTAATCTTTTAGAGAAATTTTGTATAAATGTGTGGGGTACAAGTGCAATTTTGTTAACATCTGTAGATTGCATGGTGGTGAAATCAGAGATTTTAGTGTATCTATCCCACATAACATGTTGTACCAATGTTCAGTTATGTTTAGATACACAAATACATAACTATTGTATTAGAATTGCCTACAGTGTTCAGTACAGTAACTGGCTGTACAGGTTTGTAGCCTACGAACCATAGGCTGTACCATGTAGCTATACCATCTAGGTTAGCGTACATATACTCTGTGATCATACAATGATGAAATCACCTGCAACAATTTCTCAGAAAACAAACCCATCATTATCCAACAAGTGACTATACATTTCTTTGTTTTGATTATAGGGTTCTAAAAAGCTCTCTATTTTTCCATGATATACTGTAAACATCTTTTATGTATAAAATACTTTAATGGATATATTGTATTTGCTGTTGGGCATGACATAATTTATTTAACCAGCCTAATGTTGACATGCATTGTTGTTCCTTATTTCTTACTATTGCAGTAATTTTACTGGTTAACATTTCGATTTATTTTTCATAGAATGAATTCTCACAAGTCCAATCGCTGTGCCAATTTGGTATGGCCTTTTAAAAGGCTTTGGTGGCCTGTTGCCTAATTGTCTTCCCAAAAGATTCCTCACATCCTGGTCAATTCTTCAGTCATACACAGGGCCATCTCTACATTAAGAAACTTTATATTAAGATTTGTAATCCTGTTAACTGTCACAGGCCACCACCACTCTGGGCATCTTCAGGTCATGCTGCATGTTCACCAGTCCTTCCAGCCATGGGAAGTGCAAAGCTTCTCTCCACCCACAAGGTTTCTGAGATAGCCTTTAATCTATTGTGCAGAGTTTACTTCTTAACCCACTTATAATGTATTCAGCCTTTCCTAATCATTGACTCCTTTTGAGAAGGATAGAAGGGAAAAAACCTGTATGGTCTCCTAGCTGACCTTTTTTTAATGGGGAAGAATAATTAACAACTTTTATTATCTAACATAGATAGCCAATCTTCTGCTTCTGGAATACTCTCCCTCCAATTGTCCATCTACACTGCCAGTCCTAAATGCCAGTCCTGTGTTGGAAGTCCTGTGTTTATTCATTCAGAAAATTCACCCAGTATCCTTGCATTTATGTCCATCATATTAAAAACGGTTGTGTTATATGATAAAACATGTTACCATTAAATATTTTAACAGATTTTACTCATATGAGGAAATTATTAATGATTGTGACATGTTAAACAGCACCAAAAAATTACAGACTTTTACACCTACTATGATCTCAATTATTCAAGAACAAAAAACATAGAAAAAAGATAGGAAATTACCTTGGGAAGCTGAGGTGGGAAGATTGCTGGAGCCCGGGAGCTCAAGATCAGCCTGGGCAACATGGTGAAACCCTGTCTCTACAAAATACTTTTAAAAACTAGCCAGCCATGGTGGCATGTCCCTATAGTCCCAGCTACTCAGGAGGCTGAGGTGGGAGGATCACTCGAGTCCAGGAGTTCAAGGCTGCAGCTAGCTGTGATTGCACTACTGCACCCCAATGTAAGTGTCAGAGTGACTATGTCTAAAACAAGAAAGAGAAGAAAGAAAGAGAAAAGGAATGAAAAAGAAAGGAAAGGAAGGAAGATATTAGGAGTTGTAGGCGGTAACATTATGGTCAATATTTTTCTGATTCTTTGTGCTTTTGTATTACAAATATTCTATATTGAGCATATTATACCAATAATCAGAAAACATTGCTGAATCATCTTGTTTTTAAAGAATCATCTTAATGGGGATGGGAAGGAATACAAAAGTTGTAAATGAAATAAATGGGTTGCAGCTCTCAGTTTAGAGATCAAGATGATTGGCAAGTAGAATACTATGCAGCCATAAAAAGGAACAAAATCATACCCTTTGCAGCAACATGGATGCAGCTGGAGGTTGTTATCCTAAGCGAATTAACACAGAAACAGAAAACCAAATACCCTGCATGTTTTCACTTATAAGTTGGAGCTAAACATTTGGTACTCATGGATGTAAAGATGGCAATATTGGGGACTACTAGAGAGGCAAGGGAAAGGGGGCCAAAGGTTGAAAAACTATTGGGTACTATGCTCAGTACCTGGGTGATGGGATCAGTCACGCACCAGACCTCAGCATCATGCAATATATTCAGTGCATACATGTGATACATGCAGGTAACAACCTGCACATGTATCCCCTGAAGCTAAAATAAAAATTGAAATTAAAAGATGATTGGTAAAAATTCATGATGCAATGCCATTTGCAGCGTCCAGTGCAAGTTTGAATGATTTTGACAGAGTTTTTACCAATTATTGCAGATGTAAAGAGATTACCCCTTTAGCTTATGTCTTGATATGTGCTTTGCTTTAGATAGTTTGGTGGTTGCTTGGTTTGTGGGATGCGTTCTTTTTGGCTGTGTAGTAATGGCCTTTTTAAATGGTTTAACTGCTGTACTCAGAATACTCTTCAACTAACCTGATCTGGTATCTTAAAGGTTTAGTACTTAAATTGCTAATAAGATCTAACGTTGGGCGGGCACAGTGGCTCACGCCTGTAATCCCAGCACTTTGGGAGGCCGAGGTGGAGGGATCATAAGGTCAGGGGTTTGAGACCAGCCTGGCCAATATGGTGAAACCCCGTCTCTACTAAAAATACAGAAATTTAGCTGGGCGTGGTGGCTCATGCCTGTAATCTCAGCTACTCGGGAGGCTGAGGCAGGAGAATCACTTGAACCTTGCTATGTTGCCCAAGAAGGTCTCAAATTCTTGGACTCAAATGATCCTCCCACCTGGGCCTTCCAAAGTACTGAGATTACAGATGTGAGTCAGTGTACCTGGCCTGGAAATAACAGTTTTAAAGCCATCCTCTTAAAATGAAAGTTATTGTGGCAACTTTTTAAAGACAGGTTGAAAAGAGAGGAAACTTGAGATAACATCATGAATAGATAATTATGGTATCCCTAGTGAAAGAGAAAATGAACACCTGAAACAAGGCAAAGAAGCCAAAGACAAACTTGAAGCTAACCATATAAGTTATCCAAAATGGGACCTATTTAAGAGTCAAATAAGGCACTATTAATAATTACTCCAGCATATCAAAATACCATATTGTACCCCATAAATACAAGTTGTCAACTAAAAATATTTATTTTTAATTCATGAGAAAGAGAGATAAGAAGAAGAAAAACATTCCTCCAGGACAAATCTGGGCAGGAGAGGAGTTGCGGTAACTAGATATGAGGAGAAGGAGAGGAAGGAGACAGCAGTTGGAGCTTGCCGCCTGGAAGAATGCTGGCATGATACAAAAGAGAAAGAGACGGGATGGTGTGAAACATTTCACGTTGTTAATTATGAAGTATGTTTTGAATCAGCTCAATGTTACCTAGAAATGACACTCAGATACTGTGTTCAGACAGGGGACAATATGTGTTTTCAGTGATAGCAGTGGAGGCGAAGGGTTGTCAGCTTAAGGGGCAGTTGGTAATTCTGACATCATCAAACAAATTTAGTAGCAAAACTTGACCAGCATTTGTGAATAGTGAAGCTTTTTTTGCTGACCAACTGCTGATGTTTACATTGGGCAATTATAATAGGTAACTGAATGTCATTAATGACCTTTATATCCAAAATAACTCATGGATGAATGTAGTGAACATTAAGTATTACTAATAGAAAAAAAGGCAAGTCTTCATTAATGTACCAAATTGGCAGAATGATCATCAATATTTCTGCCTAGTCTTTGCCTCAGTTACACATCTTTGTTTTTTATTTTATGTTTTTAGAGACAAGGTCTCACTATGCTGCCCAGGCTGGACTTGAACTCCTCAGTACAAGCGATCCTCCTGCCTGAGCCTCCTGAAAAGCTGCGACTAGAGGCCTGCACCACCATGCCCTGCTCTAGTTACACAAATCTTAAAATGATGCTCTTATGTTAATTCAATCAAGAAAGTAAACTAAGTCTATGATCCAATCACATACCTGTGACTCAATTCATGTTGTTGTTTTTAATCCTGAAATGATACTGTAAAATAAGGGCATTGCCTTAAAGTTTTTATTTTTTACTCAGTTTTTACATTTGAGGTAAGAAGGCAAGTGGCAGGGAAGAATGATTAGCAATAAAGCTTTTTAAAAGTTCTTCAGAAACAGAAGGCAATTGGTTGAGTCAAACTGACCGATAGTGACTATTCCCAGGAATTTCCTAATTCTTCCTCCTTTGAAAGGAATTTTAACTGCCTTATGCCATGTAAAGAATGCTGCTATTTTCAGTTTATTTCAAAGATAGCCTACAGATAAGAATCAAACTGGAGAACTTAAAGATGTTGTAACTTTACATGGTCTTTTCTTAGAAAGCTATGTAGGATACAGTGCCAAGAAAAATCATAAGCCTGATACCATGAAAAAGGCACCCTGTTAATATGCCCACAACATTATCAGCAAGCTACATAACATCCCTGGACCTTAGTTTCATTGTACTTTTAACTAAATATATATCAGAGCCCTTAACACAAGCCTGTTTCTAAAATACTGAACACTAGTTGTTATAACTAAGTATGTTCTAAACATCTGCTTTTTCTGTCTCATACCTTGATCTAGTCTGTTCCCTCCACCTAGAATGTCTTTTCCTTCCTTTTCCCACATAGCAATCTTTGACATATCCTTGAAGACCGAGATTTCCCATGACCCTGGGAGGTCTGGCCTGATACAGAAGACTGGTCAGCACATCTTTCTCTGTTGCCATAGTGTGGGATTTTTGTCTGTTTTCAGCAGATGGTTCCAGACTGCAAGCTTCTGGAGGGCAGTGACTCAATCCCATTCAGCTCCATATGCTCACTACCAGCATGGCACGCACTGGGGGTGTCCACGAATACGTAGAAGCTTTCAGGGTTTGGCCAATTTTAATTTTCCTTAGCATGTATTATTATAAAGTGATATAAGTATGATATGCCTGCATCTGTCTTATTACTACATCTATTTGTTAGTAAAAGGAGGTTACATGGTGCCTTAGTGGTTTCTTTGCACTTAAATATTTTTGAAATTACTTGGTTCTTGGCTGGGAACTGAATTCAGTATGTCTTGTTAAAGTATTTCTTATTTGTTGCCACCTCTACAATAGTGCCATAATTTCCAAATTGATATTACATGTGACATCTTTATTCTCACAATCCTGAGAGGTATGTAGAGCGAGAATTAAGTTCTACATTTAACAAAAGAGAAAACATACAGAGGTTGATAGGCTCTAGATTATGTAGCTAACTGGTAACAAACCAATCTTTATTAAAACTAATTTTAAAAATTCAACTGTTTTCAAGTTTGTCTTACTTAAATGATGAACATTGCATGTCTTTTTCTTGCATGTAGTTTATATTTAGGAGAAACAGTTTCCCTAGCAGTAGTTCTGAAACCAAGTAAAAGTCATTGGGTTATGAAGGTCTTCTATCTTCAACTAGTTGTCAACTTTAAACTCAACAGTTTAATAGTTAAATTTAAACTTTACATTTGTTTAATTTAGCAATGTTTCTTCACATTAATCAATTTTTAAAGTAGGAAAGTAATAAATGACAAAAAATGGAAGAACATTTATTAAAGATAGAAAAATAAAATGTTTAATGGTTTTGTACATATAAATGTCTTAATGTTTTGGCTTCATTTTAATAAAGCTTTTATTAAATAGTGTCTTTCAGAGAGAGTGGTAGCTGTTTTGCAAAGAAAATGTAAAATCTTTTTCCAAATTATAAAATTACTTGATTATTGTTATACTTGGTGAAAGCCAAATTAAAATTATTTATAGGTTAATGGGCTACTTTACTAATATTTGTCAGATGAGATCTTTAATAAAAGATGTGACATAAATTTATAGAACATTTTTCATGGTGAATATGACTCAAATTTTATTTTTAAATTGGAACAGAAAAATATAAGAAATATAAATAGATATAATGAATATAAATCAATTTCTTAATACTTTCTACTCTGACAATATCAAAATTACTTATTTATATGCTCTTTGAATCCTAGAAAAAAGGTAGTAGTTTAAGTATTTAGTAATGTACTAAAATTAAAATGACTTTAAAGAAGGATTCAGGTATTTCACGGTAAACTTCCTTTGATTTTAAGTTGCCAACTGATAGAATGCAAAAGTGATAACTTTCTGAATACTGTTGCTGTAAACAAGCATATATCCAGTTCCTGCTGTGTGAAAAGAAGCCAAATGTAATGATTGTGGTCTTATTCAATGACAAAGTGCTGATGATATTATTTCCATAGACAGTACAATTCTGCAGCTGGCTCTGTCAGTCTAGGAAGAGAGCTCACTAAATAAAGCCCATGAAGTAATTTGCAATTCAGGGGCAGCATTTTAAAGGAAATGAGCTGAAAGTCTGCTCATTAAAGTTAAAGGAAACCTGGTGCTTCTTTTTCTTTTCAATATATTTGTTTCTTCAAAGTATAGCTTGCATAGCCCTTATTGGGAATTCAGGAAAAGGTGACAGTGTTAAAAATTTTACTTTTTGGAAAAGTTCTTTGGAGGCAGATCTTTTGGAGATAGATCTTCCAGACACCTAAAAAAATTATTTAGGTGTCTGGGATTTAAACCTACGTTGCATGTTTCATTTGAGACATGTAAGAAATGTGTTTCAGAGGCATTTGTTAATTGTCTGTTTCCTCACAGTGTAAGGCTGTCAAGCATATAAATGCATGAGCCCCAGTGACTTGAAAGCAGAGTCAGAGTTGCTACCTGCCTTCTTGGCTCAATGGAAATGCAAGTGAACTGTACAGCATTCAATGGACCAATAACCGGGGCAAAATCAGTAAGTGCATGTCTAGTTTTCTAAGGACAATACTTTAGCTACAAATGATTCTTTTGATGCTGTATGTATCTCCTCAGCCCATCCCCCTTAAGGAGTCCAAAATTGTGTCCTTTGGTTTCCTATATATAATAGCAAAATTTTATTTGTAGCAAAATGAAAGTCAATAGACATTTGAGTAGCTACTCGGGCTTGGAAACCGCTAGAGGTCAGGGATGTAGAGAATGAAACCATGTATGTTGCCAGGTTGCTTTATCTGATGGGCAGATTGATGAACAATAGCTTATGTGGTGTTAGAAATATATCAAAGGTAAGTATTTCTGCTTCTAGTAATAAAATTTCTGACATACATACTTATGGAATAGCCTGAAGACCTATAAGAAATAAGTCAGTGCCAGGGTGACATTTTCTGACATGTCAGTAGCAAGCTTGGTTCTTTTGTTGGGGTAGGTTTGTTTTCTTTTTTGCTTCTTTGTACCTACTGTTCCTTTGCCTCTATATTGTGGGCATTCCTTATGACATGCCCCCACTTGTTGCTACCCCAAGTCACTCAGGGTTTTTCCAAACTTCTCTCTCTGTCCTTGATCTTTTGGTCTTTATTGAGAACCTAGTAACCTGCAGATTCATGCTGCCTATGTGATTGTTCAGATGACGTCTTAAAGGTAATGTGTATATCAGAAAGTGAATTCATCTTCCCTACCCCCCACTTCCTGCCTCCTTCTTTCCCATTTCCCAAATTTTGGTAGTAGTGATCTTGGTCCTGACAAGTAGCAACAGCCTTAAATAGAGTATCCACATATGAGTGAGATCGTGTGGTCGTCGTCTTTATGTGCCTGGCTTATTTCACTTAACATAGTGTCCTCCAGGCTCATCTATGTTGTCACAAATGACAGCATTACCTTCTTTTTTAAGGCGAAACAGTAGGGAATCCCATCTTGCACAGTGTCTCCTGAAACACCTAACTCAGCACACAGTGGGTGCTCCTCCTCCCTGCCTGCTTAAGGGTATTGCTGCACGTCAGTGAACTCCTCAGCTCTCCTGCATATTCCTTTCATCATCCCCAGCAGACAACCTTGCTTCATAATTTAAAAAATGATAAAGGCTATAAGGTGTGAACTCCTGGACTTCCCTACCATCTTATCTCCCTTTGCTCATTTTCTGGGAGTTTGTTCCCTCTAGTCACTGAGGCTGATTAAAGCCTCCTTCCATAACTAGACTCTTGGTTCCACTTCCTCTTGCATTGATTCCTTGTTTGCTTCCTTCCATAACGTTTTATGGAACAATTACTATATGCATGCCACTGTGCTGTTACTGGGAAAGTAGTCGTGATAATTAAGATGGTCTCCATTCTAATGAGGAGAGTCTTTTTTTATTGTTTTTTCAATCTTTCTCTCAAGTGGCTCCATATGATCTAACACATTTTAACTTTTCTCCTGTGTAAAAAAATAAAATTCTAAACTCTCTTATCTTTATACCTCCTTCTTGATACTACCTGATTACTTCCCTTCCCTTTTCAACCAAGCTCCTTGAGAAAACATTATATTTCTGAAACTTGAGTTCACACAAACTATTTTTAAAGAAACTTCCATGTCTTATAACCTATATAAAAACTAACTAAAAATGGAATATACACCTAACTGTAAAACTTGAAACTCTGAAAGTTCTTAATAACACAAAAAAAATCTTTATGACTTTGGGTTAGGCCAAGATTTGTTAGGTATATAACCAAAATTTGAGCCATAAAAGAAAAAAATCGATAAACTTCATAAAAATGAAGTATGGTAGTCTCCTCTTATCTGTAGTTCACTATCTGTGGTTTTGTTACCCTCAGTGAATACCTTGGTCCAAAATTACTACATACAATAAGATGTTTGAGATAGAGACCACATTCACATAACTTTTAGCAGCATATTATTATAATTGTTCTTATTTGTTATCAGTTATTAGTAATCTCTTATTATGCCTAATTTATTTATTTATTTATTTGTTTGTTTATTTATTTATTTATTTTTTGAGACGGAGTTTCACTCATGTTACCCAGGCTGGAGTGCAATAGCGCGATCTTGGCTCACCGCAACCTCCGCCTCCTGGGTTCAGGCAATTCTCCTGCCTCAGCCTCCTGAGTAGCTGGAATTACAGGCACGCACCACCATGCCCAGCTAATTTTTTGTATTTTTAATAGAAACGGGGTTTCACCATGTTGACCAGGATGGTCTCGATCTCTTGACCTCGTGATCCACCCGCCTCGGCCTCCCAAAGTGCTGGGATTACAGGCTTGAGCCACCGCGCCCGGCCCTTATGCCTAATTTATAAATTAAACTTGATCATAGGTATTATATATAGGGAAAAACATAGTGTGTAAGGTTCAGTACTATCCACCATCCAGGTATCCATCCACTGGGAGTCTTGGAATGTCTTCCTCCTGGATGAGGGAGAACTATTGTACTTCTGCTCTTTGAAAGATGTGGATAAGAAAATGAAAAGGTAAGCCACACATTGAAACAAATCATATCTGCAAATCACATATCTTATAAAGAACTTACATCCAAAAATCACAAGAAAATAAGCAACTCAATTAAAAAATAGGACCACGTGCTGTGGCTCACGCCTGTAATCCCAATACTTTGGGAGGCTGAGGTGGGCAGATTGCTTGACCTCAGGAGTTTGAGACCAGCCTGGGCAACATGGCAAAATCCTGTCTCTACAAAAAGTAGAAAAAATTAGCCAGGTGTGGTGGCATGCACCTGTCGTCCCAGCTACTCAGGACGATAAGGTAGGAGGACTGCTGGAGGAGGTAGAAGAGGTCGCAGTGATCCAAGATCGCACCATCACACTCTAACCTGGGTGACAGAGTGAGATCTGTCTCAAAAGAAAAAAAAAGGCAAAAGATCTGAACAGACATTTCAGCGAAGTAGATACACAGAAGACAAATAAACACATGAGAAGATGCTCAACAGCATTAGTTATTAAGGAAATAATAAGTAGCTTCTCAAAAAGTTCAACCTATGCCTATTATGTGACCCAGCCATTTCACGACTAGGTATTTTCCCAAGTGAAAAACAAAAGCCCATTCAAAGACTTGTACACAAATGTTCATAGAAGCTTTATTTATAATAGTTCACAAGTGAAAAAAACCCAAATGTCCCTTAGTGCATGCAAGTACAAACAAATTGTGTTATGTCCCACCATGGAATACCACTTCTCCATAAGAAGGAACAAACTATTGATATACAGCAAGGGGCATGGGTATCAGAATTATCATGCTGAAGGTAAGCCAAACAAAAAGGATTGTATACTGAATAATCCCATTTATAAGAAATTCTAGAAAATTCCAAGTAATCTATATTCACAGAAAGCAGAATAGTGGTTGCTTGGGAAAGGGGCATGAGGAAACATTCTGGAATAATAGAGATATTCATTATTTTTATCGTGATGATGGTTTCATGAGTGCTTACACATGTTAAAATTTACCACCAAATTGTATCTTTAAATATGTGCAATTTATTATATGTCAGTTATACTTCAATAAAGATTTTTTGTTTTTTAGAAGGCTACATAATGTTCAAGTCCATTAACATGACATTCTTATGAAGGCAAAACTGTGGAGACAGAAAACATATCAGTGGTTGCCAGGAGCCAGGGTTAACCACAAAATAGCATGGGAGACATTTTTGGGTTGATGACATTGTTTGACATTTTGATTATAGTGCTACCTGACTATACATGTTTGTCAAAATTCACAGAACTGTACATTAGAGGGTACATTTTACTACATATTAATTCTGTAATTTTGAAAATAGAAAAATTAATCAAATAATTCTATGAATACCAGAGTTGTATTTATTAAATTTCCACATCCTAGTACCTAGAGTAGTGCCCCCTTACCTGCAAAGGATATGTTTCAAGATCCCCAGTGGACCCCTGAAACCATGGATAGTGCTGAACCCATATATCTTATGTTTCGCCTATACATACATACCTATGATAAAATTTAATTTATAAATTAAGCACAGTAAGAAACTAATAATTTTAAAATAAAACAGTTATAACAATTTACTATGATAAAAGTTCTGTGAATGTGATGTCTCTCTCAATGTTTTATTGTATATAAAATTTTTGGACTTCGGTTGTCTGTAGGTCAGCAAAACCACAGATAAGGGAGGGCTATCTGTGTACATAAAGTCAAGTATATTTTTATTTATAAATCAGACTTATTACATTTAAAACCAAAATACAGTTATAAATTAAATTTTAAACATTATAAATTCAATACCATTCAAATTAGCAACATTTAATAAGATGGACAGTGTTATTTTGCAGGACATAAAACATTTGTGGGTATGGCTTCTTCCCCAGGACCACCTTCCTGGCCACCCCCAATACCTGGTGCCAAGGGTAACTCTCTCAAGGCCTCTGTCCTCTCCTGGATGGTCCTTCCCTTCTCCTGGATCCTCACTGCTGTCCCCACAAAGGTTCGCCCTCTGCTGTGTCTCAGTGGGATACATCCCTCTCCATTTTCTCCTCCACACAGGTCCCCTGTTAGGGGAAAGCCAGCTTTTGGTCCTAAAAACGGAAAAGAAAGGAAAAAGAGGAAGCACTATATAGGTCTGACCTCAGAATAGAAAGTCTGAAAAACAAATGGGGAAGGTTACACACTTGCTGACACCATCCTTTCTCTGATGTTAACAATGTCTGCATTTCTGTCACAGTACACGAGGACCCCTTCTATTACCTTAGCCTTGAAGGTGCCAGGCTTGAGAGGGCAGGGACAGGAAAAGTCCCACCCTGCCCAGCCTATGGTCCCCTTCTAGGCTCTGAACTCCTTGAAGACAGGTACAGTGTCATGAATCTTTGTATCCTCAGTGCCTTACAGTACCTGGCATGTGTCAGCTATAGTCAATGCATGAATAAATGAGTAAATGAATGCATCAGTCAAATTCATTCCATTGTGATAATTTGAAAACATATTCAATGATTAAATCGGTGCAATCAAATGCAAATTA